CCCAGGAGCTCGGCTATCTCCTGACTTCAGTTTTTTCGGTATACTACTGTCAGCTTCATTGTGGGTCCTTTTCGATCTTTCTCCGTGAGTTGTGTCGAAGCAGAGCGCCTGTCCCTGAATATGCCGATGTTCTTTGGGGTCTGCCTCCTTGGCGCGATGCGTCCTCCGCGATTCTTCTCTTCTCGACTCTCCTCGCCCGACCTCCCTGGAAGGTCGGTGAGAGTGTTTTTCGCTTCTAGTGTGCTGAGGGGCTATTGGGATTGTTTTCTGCCCTCTCTTCTGGGCATTGGCTGCTGGAATAGGTGTGTCCTGCAGTCGGTATGGTGGCTGCATGACGTTGTTTTGCATCATGAAATTGACGACCGATTGCAGGTCTTCCAATTTGTTCGCCATCTCTTTTACCTCTTTGTTCCTCCGCATGCATCTATCCTTCCATACTTGGAGGTTATCCTCATTGTAGTACCTACTTCGATTTGGCTTCTTTGGTACATCGCCATCCTGGCCGACGTATTTCTTGTTGTGATTCGGGTCACGAGTTTCTGTGTTGCGATTGTCTCCTTCGACGTTAAGGTCGATAGGTCTGCCACTCCCAGTAGGAGTGTCGTCCCCAATCTTTTGCTTCTGTTCGTCACTGGCCATCTATTATTTTTTCTTTCCCACAGACGGCGCCAAATTGTGCGAGTGATTTTCCGATCACACTGCCCAACTCAGTATTCAGCTGGAGAGAACTGGCAAAATAGATGACACCTAGCTGACTTGTAACAGAAAGAGAAGATTCCGGCGGTGGTTCGTCCATCCGGGGGCACTCCGACGATTAAGTCAGTATATCTCTCAAAGATAATCAATAGTGTTAAGCTCACTGTTCAGAATATAAACTGCGTACCTTAGACCCATGGGAGTGCCTCTCTTTTATAATTAACTCAATCCTTGTCCCACTAGAAGCCTAGCTTCAATGGACTTCTGCACAGCGCTTATCCTGGACTCTCCAATAGATAAAGATAAACTCCCTAAGAGTGTTATCCTTATCCATGCTGAAGTCCTTCCTTATTCTAGGACTCTTTGTGCCTTATCCGTTTATCCCGGATTCTGATATCTTCGGAGATAACCTCGGCCTTGCCGAGATCACCTCGGTGTCATAACCTGGACACGTGGCATCTCGGCTGACACGTCGGCGTCACATTGGCACGTGTTGGGACTCAGAAAATATATCTCCACAGATAGATTTCAATATTTTAGTATCAATCATCACTCAATAGGTGGGGGTTAGCATTTCACTAAAAAAATGTAATTATATTGCACTATTTTATTGATCTAGGAGAATATTTAAGTCATTTTGTAATAAAAATATTATTGATAATGGGTGTTGTTCATCGCCACTTTTAATATTTTTGTTACAATTCTATTATTGCAAGCTCTCCTCGTCTGCCTTCTCTTTAATTCTTTCTGATTTATTTTGAGGAGTTAATTAAAAGTTAATTTTTTTAATTTTTTTTTAAAACATGTAAAAAAAATAATATGACTCAAAATAAATTAAAAATAAAAAATTAATATTTAACTAACTTTTCAAAATAGCCTTTATCCTCTATGCAAGTGCCACAGAGAGATTATTAAAAAAATGAGTCACGCACCACAGAGAGATTATTAAAAAAATGAGTCACGCAACAAAGAAGAAAAGGGAGATGAAGATGGAAGGGGGCTTCGTAGTGGTGGGAAGAGTTGTGGAAGTGGGGTTTGCCATGGTGGGAAATAACTTATGTTGGTAAGAGTCCAAATTTTTTTTACTCGCAACAAATCATTTGTGAGTTACAAAAATTTAAACCAAATATAAAACAATTTTATCATGGGATTATTTTTTAATCTTATCTCAGTCTTATCCTGGAAGGAAAGGTGATCTTGCAGTCAGAGATGACATAGGCAACCAATGTTGAGCACATAATTTGGGATATAATAATACGATATGATTGGGGTTAATTTTTAATTTTTCACATGTTTAATTATATAATTGTCATATTATTATGAATTAATCTAGAAATTTAAATTACGAGTCTTTAACATCTCACCAAAAAATATTAGTTATCACGAGACACTCAAAGAGAATCCTTACATTAGTAGAAAAGTTATTTTTTATCTCCAAGTATACCACACAAGATTATAAAACAAATTAAATTACTGGAATTTGACTCATGTTAAGTTTTTTTAAGGTTGTGTTTTATCTATGAATTTGTGAATGAGATTTGAAATTTCACTTTCCCTTTCAAATTTTTTCCCAAATTCATGAATCAAACAAAGCATTAAATTTTATTTAAAATTGGCTCGATATATAAATAAATAAACTAAAACATATTTTGAAACTTGTTAATTTTTTAAGTTTGAATTGAACTTGATTTAATAAAATTATATTGATTATAAAAAATTAAATTATTCAAGTTTCAAAAGTTAACTTGAATTTAAAATTTGAATAAATTACAAATATATCTCATGAGATTTGCTTAAAATACGGATTATTTCACATGGTTTGAGAAATTACAAATATCCTATTGTCAAATTTTTTTATTTAACAAAATTAATTGACAAAAAAAGACTAACTGCTCTCTTATACAATAATTAAATTAGCTGAATTATTAATTTAAATAAATTTCTAACATCATTAAAAAATATTAAATGATTTGATAATTTATTATTAAAGGGAATTATTTATAACAAAATTATAAATTTTAAGAGGCGAGATATAATTTTTAAAATTACAAAAAATAATTCATATCATAAACAAATCTCAATAAGTATATTTATAATTTACCTTTAAAATCTTAAAACAAAATTAAACAACTTATGAACCCACATTCACAGTCACAATCACAATTAGGCCATTTGAAGTGTACTTCAAATAAAAAAGGCCGCCCCATAATAGAAAGGTGTAAAGGTAAATTAAAAATAAATCTCTTAAGATTTATTTATTTATAAATTGTTTATATAATTAAAAAAACTATAAATATTTTTTTATTTAATAAAATTAATTAAAAAATAAAATTTTAATTACTCTCTTACACAATGATAAAATTAATTAAATTATTAATTAAAATAAATTATTAACATTATTAAAAATTGTTAATTGACTTAATTATTTATTAATAAAATAAACTATTTGTTATGAAATTAGAAATTTTAAAAGAAAAGATGTAATTTTCAAAATTATAAAAGATGAATCGTATTTTAGATAAATATAAAAAAGTACACTTATAATTTATTCAAAATATAATAAGATGACTTACTAATTGGTCTTATTACTTAAATTTATTTACTTATAAGTTGTTTCATTTTTTCACCTTCAAAAAAATATTGAATAGCCTAGCCAGTCATTTAAGAGCATCTCTAATGTTATATCAAACTTTTTAATAAATCTACGTAAAAGTTATTGAAAAATTTGATCCAATACAGTACGTTTCAAAATTATATTTAAAATTTTTATCAAATATCTCATTGTCTATAAGAATATCAAGAGATATAAAGAGAGTTCATTGTCCAGAGAATATCTTGCTCAAAAATTACCTACAAATTTAATAAAGAATAAACACTTCATTGGGGGGTTTGTTTCAGCTTTTCAGAGTCAACTTATGACTTTTAGCTTTGAAAAAGTTATTTTGGACTGTTTGGTTAAACTTATTTCAAACAGCTTCTGATTCTAACAGTTTATTTTAATTCAAAAAAGCTGATTCTAAGAAGCTGCTCACCCCTTGCTTCTGATTATCAGCTTCTGCTGTGGACATGTTAATTTATAGTTATACTCTTAAATTTTTTTATTTTTTATTTTTTTAAAAATAGAAAAAGACTTAAATGGATTATAGATTATTATTATTATTTTTTATGAGAAATGCAGACAAATAGTGAATAATAAAAAATAAAAGTTAATTAAAAAAGTTACTTCACAGCTTATTTAATAAACCATATCGTAAACAAATCTTATAATTTACTTTTAAAATCTTAAAACAAAATTAAACAACTTATGAACCCACATTCACAATCACAATCACAATTAGGCCATTTGAAGTGTATTTCAAATAAAAAAGGCCGCCCCATAATAGAAAGGTGTAAAGGTAAATTAAAAATAAATCTCTTAAGATTTATTTATTTATAAATTGTTTATATAATTAAAAAAACTATAAATATTTTTTTATTTAACAAAATTAATTGAAAAATAAAAATTTTAATTACTCTCTTACACAATGATAAAATTAATTAAATTATTAATTGAAATAAATTATTAACATTATTAAAAACTGTTAATTGACTTAATTATTTATTAATAAAATAAACTATTTGTTATGAAATTAGAAATTTCAAAAGAAAAGATGTAATTTTCAAAATTATAAAAGATAAATCATATTTTAAATAAATATAAAAAAGTACGCTTATAATTTATTCAAAATATAATAAGATGACTTCCCAATTAGTCTTATTACTTAAATTTATTTACTTATAAGTTGTTTCATTTTTTCACCTTCAAAAAAATATTGAATAGGCATCTCTAATGTTATATCAAACTTTTTAATAAATCTAAGTAAAAGTTATTGAAAAATTTGATCCAATACAGTTTCAAAATTATATTCAAAATTTTTATCAAATATCCGATTGTCTATAAGAATAGCAAGAGATATAAAGAGAGTTCGATTGTCCAGAAAATATCTTGCTAAAAAATTACCTACAAATTTAATAAAGAATAAACACTTCGCTGATTTGATGAAATATTTAATCCTCCCCTTATCTTATATCAATTTAATAAAAACATTATGGGATAGTTTGAAATGATTTAAATAAGTATACTTTTTGATTTTTTATGAAATATAAGTTGAGGTTGAAGGGATGTAGTAGAGAGATGATGTAATTTAAATAAGATAGTGACTTTTTAAATTTTTAATTTTTTTAAGATACCCAAACAAGGCCTAAAACTAATATTTGTTCTACTTTTTTATCAAATTTAAATTCGACCAAACATTTCGTACAACTTTGAGATGGCCTAAAAGCATCAATCGGAGCTCCGTTTGACGGGGTCTGGTAACCCTTTCACATTGATTCCCTTTCCAAGCTTCTTCTTGCCCAACAAAACCACCCACCTGAAATCGAGAGAGAAACTTGACTTCTAGAGAGAGAGAGAGAGAAAGGGAGGGACAGGAGGGAGTAGATAGAGAGAGAGGAGAGAGATGTGGGTGTTCTATCTGATCTCGCTACCTCTAACATTGGGCATGGTGGTATTGACGCTGTGGTACTTCGCTGGACCACATGTGCCTCGCTACGTCCTCTTCACCGTCGGCTACACCTGGTTCTGCTCTCTCTCCATCATCATCCTCGTTCCTGCCGACATCTGGACGGTACTCTTTCCTTTTTCCTCATCAATTTCCATATCAGTCAATCCATAAGCTCATACTTACGTTTCGTTTTTCCTCATTCAAATGAATGATTTTTGCATTGTTGTGGACGTAATTTGAATCATAAATTGACCATCAAATTCACGATTCTTTGAAGCTATCTACTATGTTCTTATCTGGCTATTGTTAATCTTTAATTAGGGTCATTTTCATTCAAGTGCTTCTCAAACATTTATGTGAATTATGTGTATTATTGGGAGTAAAGATGCATTCAATTAAAGGGAAAATCATTTTTAATGCTCTGAAGAATGATATCATATGGTAGATGTAAATATGGAACCTGTTGTGGAGCATGATAGAAGGAAAATTGAGAAATCGAGAATTGTACATGGAACATGTTTTGCACCTATTGCAATTAATTTTAGGCTCAATTTGAGTCATATGTTTATGCTGCTTATAGATTAGTATGCTATTGAATAATTTTATTTGTGTTTAGTAGTTTTTAGTAGTCAAGAGTAGCTTGGTAATTTTTAGATTTGCTGTACATGGACTGTAAAATGTGTCCATTAGTTGTTTTACTGTCAAGTTAAGTTATTGGGTCTTATGAATTTTTTCATGATTGGAATAATATAATTTGTCAAAGTTATTACTTATTTGATTTGATTTTTTATTTTGTACTTAGTAGAATTTGGAGTGTAGCAGCCTATAAGTATTTATGTTACCCTTCCATTCAATGGGGAGAGTTGTGTTTTCAAACTTGTGAGAAGTTTTTGAAGTTTGTTTGTGATGCATTACAATGTTGTACCTTAGTGGGTAATTCATAAAGAATTTAAGGTTAGATTTTAAATTAATTTTCTTCTGCTTTACTTTCAGAAAACTAGCAGATTACTATTCTTGGGATATTATTTAGAGCCCCAAATAGTAGTCCTTTCGGCCCCAAAACATCAGAGCATATTGATTTATAAATCATTGTCAGCCCCAATCGCTTCCCAGTTCCCATATTTGTTATGCTTTGAATTTACACTACTTACCTCAAAAAAGGTTTTTTTTTTCTTTCCCGAAGAGACTTCTACTAGCTAGTTGGAAATCCTGCAGCCAACACTTATCCATTTGCAAATCTTGGAACTTTGGTTCTATCTAAAAGAACCCTAACGCTGAAAACTGTCCTTAAAACCAATTGAAAGCAGCCTTAATCTAAGTTTCCTTGTAAGCAGCTTTAATCTAAGTTTCCTTGCATCGAAACTTATGTTAGTTTCTAGAACCCAAAATATCACTCTGTTTCTGCTTCTTACATTTATGATATGTATGCAATTATTTTAATCTAATTTGACTTTACAATTTAAATGTGCTAGAAGAAATTTGAATAGCCTAGATTCGAGTGATAGACATTTGAATTGTAGTTATGCTTAAAATTTGGTTTGTGTTTTGTGCAGACAATAATTTTACATCATAATGGAGGAATCTCTTTCTTTTGGAGTTGGTCATACTGGAGTACCTTTCTGCTTACTTGGTATGCTTTTGCTGTTCTATTTGTTTTTTGTTAGATCCAGTTGAAGATGGTGGGCGCTTTGTTGAACTTGTCTCCAATATTATGGGCATCTAGTAGGGGATCTTTTAGTTGTATTATGCTGCATTTGAAGGTTTTATTGTATTTTTTACTCACTCAACTTAAAAGGAATTGTCACAACTATTTGGCTTTGGCTACATGAATACTGTTTTGGCAATGCCCCATATAAGGTTGCAACTTCTATTGAACTAAATGCCCCATGTCTTCCCTTATTATCTCAGCTCATGCTAATTTTTATATTTTCTTCCCTTAGCATTAACCATTAACGTTAATTTGTATCATGTCACTCTTTGTTGCACATTAGAATTGGTCCTTGCTGCTTATTGCAAACCATCTTATCGACTTTTTCTCATTTTATCTCCATTTGTTACTTATATCATATCAGGAAATTGTTCAATCTAGTTTTATTGTTTATTTCTTTACTACACATCCATCTCGAAGCACCCATTTTGGAGCATTGCTTATTTCATGTATATATTGTTTCTTAGCTGCCTGGTATCATGTTTTCGAGAGTATGGTTTGTCTTATAGTTGTTTTGTATAATTTTCCTTTAAGCTTCAAAGGCAGATATTGACCACAAGATATGCTAAGAGCAGTTCTTACTTCACCCATCCAACTTCAATTATATGACCAACATCTAAAAAGTCACCAATTATCCCCAAAGCTTAAGTTATTAGGAAATGGGCTCAACAATGTAATCACCCTCCCTCATGAACAACCCCGTCTTGCACATGGAGAGACAAACAGAGAACCAGATAGAAGGAAAACAAATAGCCAAACAGAGAAGAAGAAACCAAATGGGGAAAGAATGCGAAATGCTAACGGAGAGACTTGAACCCAAGACCTCTCTCAACCTGAGCTTTGATACCATGTTAAGTCACCATTTATTTCAAAAGCTTAAGCTATTAGGAAATGGGCCCAACAATGTAATCAAGCTATCTAACGACATCATCTTCCACTTCTACCTTCATATGAATAATTGAGCCTAATTAATGAAACTAGTGTCAGATATACTAATGTAGGACAAGTGTGGTGTGCACTCTCCTAGAAGTGGTGAGCCCAAACTCAATGTATAACAGCAGCAAAAGTTTGCTTTTGGATGGATGGGTGGTAAAATTTTGGGGACGTTAGGGTTTCAAAAGGTGCAACAAAAGGGTAAAATATTGAGAATGCAAATCAGAGATTTTGGGAACTGTTTTGGGTCTGTTCTGAGCCTGAGAAAAAATAACAATGCTGATCTTGTGGTTCTACACTATTAGGTTGAATGTTAACAGAAGGATAGGGGTTGGGCTTGTGATATGGGATCTCTAAGGCCTCGTTTGGGAACCCTCTATTTTAGCTAAAAAGCCAAAAAGTTACTAAATTAGCCAAAAAGCCAACAATCCATATCAAAAAGTCAAAGATTCTCTTTTCTCTATATTTTTTGCACATCTTTTCGTAAAAAGTCAAAAAATATCCCAAACATACTAGTTTTTTTTAGCTCATATTTTAGACAAATAGCCAAAAAGTTACTAAATTAGCCTGTTTCCAAACAAGGCCTAAGAGTTAAAAGAAGTTTAAACAAATCTGGTTGTAGAGTTTAAAGTCTTTAGGGTGCATAAAATTATGAAGAAGAAAGAGAAGAAGAAGAAAATTCTAGGAATCACTCCAAGAGGCCTTAGGCATCGTACTTGGGGTTTAATTGCATCACACTGTCTAAAAAGAAGCTTATTTGCTGGAAATAATTCTCTCAAGAATTACAATCTCTATTGAATTGGATTATCAATTAGGAAATTAAGATTTTTGACTCCCCAAACCTATCTAAAACCAAATAAGACTTGTAAACAAACCCTAATACCTAACTTGGCCCGTTTGATGACTCATGGGCGACCCTTACAGCCCATGGCATAAGTTTTTTGAAATTACAAACCTAAATAATCCTACAATAAGATCTAAGGCTAAAAATGTGTTTATATATAGTTCCAGTTGGGCCCAATTGAGCTCGGCTTGAAATTAACCAATTTACGAACTTGAACGCGTCCTTAAATATAATTTTTTCTTGATCTTCTTATGGACTGCACCATATACCTTGCTGTTTGAACTTCATTACTTTCGTATTTGTATTCTAGTTTGCTAAAGTTGTATAGCTTAATATAAAGACAGTCCCATCCTTCAAACCATATGTTTCTTACTTTCCTGGCACATATGTACTTCGAAGACTTCCTCTGTTACAAATTTGTTTGTTTTAAAAGTTAGAAGTTAATGGAATGTGTTTATTATACAAATATATATTTCATTTCCTTTTGTTGCCTACGTGCATCAATTTGAAGTGTCCGGAAGCATCATGTGAGAATGTTCCCACTCTGTACTGCTAGAAGTGGACTGTCAGATACTTAAAATCTATTAGGTCAAGGAACAAGGTTGAAGTCCACCATACTGTCATGGTGCCTCAACCACTCCAGCTGTTGTTATTCAAAAGATATTTAAACATTACTTGTTTCTGTGTCTAGTGTTGACATGCAACTATCTCTGTGATGCTGGGCAGGAATTTTTGTGTTTGTCCATGCATAAGCTAGAGTATGTATTTCTCTTGGAGATGTAATTTCTGAGCTCAGTTTTTTGTTCCTGTTAACTAACTTAAAACATGCAATTTAAGTCTTTCCACTCCTTTCTTATTACTAACCACTGATCATAAAAAGAAGAAGCATTGTATATGTAACTATATTGCAAAGAGAATGCATGAACTATATCATATTTAGACAATTAGAAACTTTAATATCTCTTTCTTATTTTGAATGGTCAGAAGTGTACAGATTACGTCACGATAGTTGTGCAACTGCATATTCTCTGAACTTCATGTTCTTTCCTTTGCTATTGCTTTGCATTCATAAGCTTGGTATGCCTTGGTGGTTAGGGTACTTTTTTTGTTATTAAAGATTCACATATTCTCATAGATTTATATGAAATTATTTCTCTAAGCAGGGCTGTGGTGCCTATAATTCAGGGTTATGAAGATGCCGGGGACTTCACAGTGGCAGAAAGATTGAAGACTAGTGTACATGTAAACTTAGTCTTCTACCTGTGTATCGGTTCTATTGGACTTTTTGGACTTGTACTGCTCATTATTTTGGGCAAAATCTGGTTTGTTTCTTAACCTGCTAGACGAAACGTTGTTTGATCTGGATTCATTGCTTTCTTCTATAAATCCTGATTTGTTTGGTTAAATTCTTTTTGGTGATAGACCAAGTTCTAGATTTACTTTTAAAAAAAATGAAAGACAAAAAGAAAGAAGATTAAGTGCTAGATTTGCATGCTTGGTTGCATGCATCTTTCTGCAGTGGATCAGTGTAGACATAACATCTGAAATGGAGTGTTGAGCCGGCGCTTGAATTTCTATTCTTTTAAAAAGGAGAAAAATTGTGTTTATGCACCAATTTCTTCTGATGCACCATTCCTTATATTCTTTTTAACTTGGTTTCGTCTATACTATTTATTTACAAATCTTTGTATGTACATGTAGATGTATACTGCAGCTATTTGATCATTCTGGATCACAATGATATGATTGTGAATTTTGTCATGTTTACTCTGTTACTTGGTGTCCAGTAAAGTAATTTACCTATTAGTTGAATTATACTGTTTATATTATATATGATACGGTGATTGCATTGCTTATTCTTCTTTAGATCTTTGATCAATGTACATTACAGCAACTGGTTAATATGAACAATAGAGGGTTGTGTATGCACATTCATGTCATTTTATCATGGTAGGAGAATTTCAGTTTCTTAATGGCTGTTGTAATGTTCTGAAGATGTGATTTAAGTGATTAGTACCAGTTTGTCTTTTTCTTCAGTATTGCTAAGTTTTTATCATTATGAGTTTGATTTTTCTAAAGCCATCTTGGTAGATGTTGTTGTCCAACTTCATTTTGATGCATCAAGATGAAATAACATTTTTGTTTTCTTCATCTTGTCAACTTGTTTTCTGATTTGTCATTGATCTGGTTCTACTTGGCTTAGGTGTTGTGCTGAGAAAACTTATTTTTGACATTTTTATTCCTTTAGAACTGTTGCAAGTTTTGTTTTCTTCAAATAACATTTTGTAAAATTAGTTTGTTAGCATTTATTGGATCCATTGACTTGTCTTTTCCATCTTTTCATCTTGCTGTTTATTGTTCTTTGGATTGCTACCATAGTTGAGAATGTTGGGAGAATAGTACTGTGAGTGCTCTCTCGTTAAGGAGGAAAGAAAGAGTGGAGAATAGTACTGTACCAATATTGCCTATATTTTGTAGATTACTTTTGTATTTTTAATTGAGAAAAAATCCTACCCATGGGTAGCCAAGACAAAGCTGGGCCAGGACTAATCAGTAGGGAAGAGCATACCAAGGTTCAATCATTTATGAAACTGTATATCTCATTTATGCCCTTTTCAATTTCACACCAGCACCTCCAATTTTCATACCAGCTGGCCACTAAATTTGTGATTTTTGGTGGGTTGAGGGTTCTCTCAAATTTTGTGACTTTTCATCTCAGTGTAATTGTCACAATGCTTTAAACCAATTAACATAACAATCGTGTTATGCTACTACTATGTTTTCATTAATGGTTTATCATGTCCTCTCTAATGTTGGTCAACTAAGTGCACGGATACAATTAAGATTGAGGAAGGACCAACTCTGAAGAATGAAAGGCACACAATCAAGCTTAAAGAAAAGAGTTCAAGAAACTGGTTTTTTTTATTATAAGTAGCATTCTTGGATTTGGTTTTTGATGTACTATAGAATTCTCGTCATTAGGTGTACTTTTCTTAGTTTTGTTGCTGTAAATTAACCTCATTTAAAGGTACTAATAAAAAAGAAAAAGAAAAAAAGAAGAAGTCATCTCCTTCAAAGGTGGGTGCTTGTAGGCTACTTTTAATTGAGGTGGCTGCTTGTAAGCAGCTTGTCATCTACTTTTGGTATGGTGGCTGCATGTAGAACACATGTCAATAGGTGGCTGCATAGAGGACATCTATGATCCTCCATAAGGGAGTGCAAAGGAATTTTTTTTGTACATCAGATTTATGTGAGTTTGCGAGTGTATGAGATGTGTGTTTATTTAGTGTGATGCTGGCTTTGCTGCATGCTGGAATTAAGATTTCTGTAATCCTCGTTGAAGGAAATTGCGGATAACAGTAAATTCTATTTGTTCAGATTTATGCAGCTATGTACATGTATATGTGAGTTGCATTATTATGTCATGGTACTCTGATCACTTTGAAAGGTTTTGGATTGGGTTGAGACTCTGAAGTGTCATTGCCTTTTTTGGTTTTGTTTGGTTCTTTCATTTAATGTGTACATGTGCATATGAGTAACGCGAGTCTTGTGCATTGGGTACAATATATATGTATATATATATATATCATTTATGTACGTCACTCTATCCATTTCCCCAACCCCAAGGGGTTGGTCTAATGGGTGCAGTTTGGGGCATGAGGATGTGCTCCCTCTAGGTCTTAGGTTCAACTCCCACTAAGTGTTATCAGCTCCTTGGGGCCATGCATGCAGTCTTTGTTTGAGATTTGCCCAATCCATGTGGACGGGGCGCTTTGCGTGGGTCTTAAGATTAGTCGAGATGTGCGTAAGCTGGTCCGAACACCCAATCATAAAAAAAAACTCCGTCCATTTCCCCATCATCATCATCAGCTTCTTATAGAATTTGCATTTTTAGAATGTCTTTGTCTTTGTTATGATAGAATTTATTTTCCATGGATGCGGCCTTGAGCTTTGCCATGGAAACTTAATTATTTGCCTTTTCAACCACCACTAGTGCATGGGAGTTTAAGTTACGTTGCTTAGTTCCATTTGATTGTTGGTGATTGGTGTATTTTCCTTTGCCTATTGCCAAAAATCTTGATGTTGTATTTGTAGGGATGGCGGTATCCTTGGTTTTGCAATGGCCTGCTCGAATACTTTTGGACTTGTCACTGGTGCATTTCTTCTTGGCTTCGGTTTGAGTGAGATACCAAAGGGAATTTGGAAAAATGCTGATTGGACTACTCGCCACAAGGTTCTTTCTCATAAGGTTTCTAAAATGGCCGTGAAACTTGACGATGCTCATCAAGAATTTTCAAATGCTATTGTAGTAAGTGTTATTCCCTGGTGACAATTTGAATTTTTTTCCCTCTCTTTTTTACTTGCATATTTGATTTAAGCCACCTCTTCAATAGCTATAGTTATTAAGGAGAAAAACAACATACACTGAGGATTTATTCTCGAATATGTCTAATGGTCATCTATGCAAGACCCTTTCTCTTGATATGAGGGATAGGTCAAGTGGGGATGGGTTGATTGGTGGTAGTTGAATGGAAGTTGTATTAGTAATGATACTCTACATTCCTTTCTTTCGGATCTCCTGCTATGGCACGACTAACTGGTTGATCTCCATATTGTCTGTGGGCTGATTAGAGTTTTGGATTATCTTTGTGTTTTTTGATGGATTGGGCCTTTGTTCATTGGGCCTAGTGGTTTCATTTGATCCAGATTGGTTTGCCTTTGGTGGGCCTTGCCTCTTTGATTGCTTCGTCACCATCATCCATGGCTCAAATGTTGTGTCTTTCTCTTTGGCCAGGCTATTGTTGTGTCTAGCATTTTGGGCCATATCAGTGGCCATATAGCTTTGGGCCCAGTATTGTTTGTGGTTGTTATCCTTTACACATATACCTCTTTCTCTGGCCAGAATTGGTATAGCACTTTCTGGTGGCCTACATTAGCACGACCGCAATTGTAGCAAATGGAGTGTTCAAATTGGTAATCTACTGGGAATTCTTTATCCTCCAGTAGAAATTTGGGGCATAGAAGTTTTTGAAGTCAATCCCAATACATACTCTGGCAAAGCTTCCTCTAGTCACTAAAGCTGTTGTGAGGTCGATTTTGATGGGTTTCCAGTACTTTTTGCATAGTATAGATGTATTTCTCCTGATAGTATTCGATCGGGGGCCTTGGAAACTGGACCCACGCAGAGATTGTGGTTTTTGTTGTGTCTGCTAGCTGGAAATATGGTTCCCATTTTCTAATGTTAAATAGTGATCCATGATTACCCAGGGTCCTCTAGCAAAGACCTTTTGGCAATCCTCCATGAAATCAAATCTGAATAAGTAGTTGTATTCAAGATCAATGGGCGTAAAATGATCCACCATTCCCCAGATGTTCTTGGCTTTTGAACAGAGGAGATTATAACCAATGTTCTTGCCCAGGAGTTTGAAGATTTGAACATTTTTCCAGGGTCTCCAGATTTTATACAATAATTTGCTGCATGCTGGAATTAAGATTTCTGTAATCTTCGTTGAAGGAAATTGCGGATAACAGTAAATCCTATTTGTTCAGATTTATGCAGCTATGTACGTTAATGTTCGTGATCTCAGTCGTGTACCAGATTTTGGAGCTTTGGCTTCCTTCTTCAGTTTCCAAGTCTGAGTCGATGTCAATGCCTTTTCCAAAGGCTTTTGAGCCCCCTCTTGTTTTCATGAGGGCATCTTTGAATGACTTAACTGATTCTGCCCACAGGGCCCCACTTTTCCCTCTAATCTTATTCAGTTTGGTTCCCATCAACAACTCTAGGTTCTGGATGATTTGGCGCATCAACAATCTCTACCTCCATCCCGTAGGAGAGATTCTCTTTTCTTTCCTTTATCTTTCTTTGTGCTTTGTTCCTGGTGGTTTTCCTCTTCTAGGGCTTTTCTTGGGTAGTCATTACCGGCGAGAATGTTGCCATTATCTATCATTTAGAGAGAGTGACTTCTCTTACTATTTTCCACTTCATATATATTTCAACTTAGCATGGGTCCTTGAATGATGCAGAGTTCTAGGCTCTTCGTCTCACAAAATTATGAGATTTACGCAATATTCTAATTGTTCCTTGGTCAGCATAATCAAACAATTTGTTGTTTTAATGACTCTTTGGATACACATTTTATATTTAATTGTGCTCATATTTTCTTGGTGTGTAAAGTTTAAACTGTAATATAATATGCTACAAAAAAAAAAAAAAAATTATTTGGTGACTAATTGTGATGGTGTATTGAATTAGGTTGCTCAGGCAACATCAAAGCAAAAAAAAAAAAAAAAAATTATTTGGTGACTAATTGTGATGGTGTATTGAATTAGATTGCTCAAGCAACATCAAAGCAAATGTCCAAGCGTGATCCTTTGAGGCCCTTCATGAATATTATTGATAACATGTTGCTTCAAATGGTAATTATGCTCATTGTGCTATGTGAAGCTTTTTCAAAACAAACATCCTTTACCTTTGAGTTACTTTATGTTTTATTTTTTAAAGAATTGTTTTCAAATTAGCGCACACTTTTCACTTGATGCCAGTTTAGTGAAGATCCGTCTTTTAAACCACAAGGCGGAAGATTAGGAGAAAATGATATGGATTATGACACTGATGAAAAATCAATGGCAGCTCTTAGGCGTCAACTTAAGAGAGCTCGAGAGGAGTACTACCGGTACAAAAGGTATACAGTTACTCACTAATTGAACAACTTGAGTGCCTTTGGGGGATCTATTTACCGTATCTTTCTGAAATTGAATGTTGAGCATCTGCATACATGGGATTTTTTTTGTTCATGCATTGTTTATTCTTTTTTTGTTGCTTCTTTCCTCTAATAGCAATGGTGTCTTTAAAGACTTCTTCAGCCTGGATTGGATTTTTTTGTGTCAAATCAGTTTTTGAAAAACAAATGCTATATTTTTGTGATAGTTTATTTGCATAATCATTTTCATTCTAGCCTTTTTCCTAGCTTTGCATTCTCAATGCTTTATATCTATTGCTAGCTTGAACTACGATTATGCTTGTATAGTTTGGATTTCAAGAGGGGTACAAGCTGAATTTCACTTATTTGTAATTTTTTATTATTGGGTTTGCAGTGAATATATGAATTTTGTGATGGAAACTCTCGAGCTGGAGGACACTGTAAAGAATTATGATCGTCGTGATGCTACTGGATGGTTTGCTCTTAATCCAGGCTTTTTTCTTCTCTTTTCTTTAAATTCTCTCACACAAACCCCCCCTCTCTTCTTTTATTTGATGCTGTATGTATTTTTTGCTGCCTAATATATTTATGACTTACTTTTGAACAGTGCGAGAGATATATTTTGTGGTTAATTTGGGCTGTGAACCAGCACAATTCTTTAATTTGTTATCATTATTTTGTTTCCTTTCTTTAGTGCAACATTCTTGATGGTTTTGTCACTTTTCTTTGTGCGTACTTGCTCTTTTATCCTGTATATCCTTTGGGAGAATGAGAGACTACTAAATTCCATTGGCTTCATTATTTAATTGGTCTTGTTTTGTATTGTAGTCCAATTGTCATGTTGGCAGTTATATGTACATTGTCTAACTCGTAACATTAGAATGGTGAATACATCATTTTTATGGAGCATTACTGTGATCTGGTATATATTTCTTTTATGCTGCTAGTTGAAATTGCTACCAGATTTTCCTGATGATTTTAAGATTGATTACTCTCGTTATCTTGGATCAATCATACATAATAACTTGAGGGAGATGCTTAAGGTACAGAGGTGCTTTTGGAGTATAAAATTAGTCATGCCTTATGGCTGACAGTCCATAATGGTCCTGGAAGACATCCATGTTTTATGGTACATAATTTAGATAGTCATGACATGTTCAATGAGCAGTGTAATACCAATGATAGTAATGGGCAAGCGGTGGAAAAGAAAGAATTAGAAATGAACTGTTGGTGAGAAGTTAACAGTGGCAGCAACTGGAGATGAGGTGAAGTCTAGAGAGATGATTTGCTCAAGTGTGAGAAAAACTAGTGACAATAATACTGGTAAGGAGTATTATGGTTATAGTTGAATGAGTTGTAAGGACAAGGGAAAGTCACAATAGTGGTGGTGGGTCTGGTGAGAGAATTGAATGACTTAGCTTAACCTTAAGAATGTAGAAGAGGGACCTACATGGCGTAGCTTAACCTTAAGAATGTAGAAGATGGACCTACATGACGCAGGATCTGATATAGTTGAAGTAAGGGTTCATTGATCTGAATTCAGTATCATGAAGAATATAAGTAAATTTCATGGAATTGCCTTGTTATCATAATTTAAGCTGTTCTTTTGTAAGAGTGACATAAGAATCTGAATGTAGCTTCTTCTCTGGCAAAGAAATGAGTAATACTATCAAAAGGTAAACGGAAAGTTAGATAGAAGGATAAAAAATCCTTTGGGTTGAATCAAGCAACCAAAATACAGAATAAACCCAAAAAACACCAAATGATGAAACAATTCCAATGAATTTTAAACCTATTTTGTTGTAATCGATTGCATGTGCTTTTCTAGAATGACTGATGTCTATTTTACATACTGTGGACATGTTCAATTTTCATAATCTTCTAGACTATCCAGAGATCCATTCGTACGTATATGTATTTATGTATTGGACCTCTTAAGGAAAATTTAGGTCCTGGGACTGGGAGACAATTCTAGATAGCCAACAAAATATATGTTAATGTCCTTTTCTTCCTTTTTTTCCCTGGATTTTCCCTACTTTAGCCAATTTATTTTCAGGTAAAACGAGGATAATTTACGTTGCAGTCATTGATTTATTTATATCCTCTTTACCTACATAAGGAAAAGAAAAACTTTCATATACAAGACAGTCAATCAAAGCCTTTCAAAGAGGATAAGATGTCCATGACCTATTCAATGCTTGATTTTGGGAGCCCCATCTCGTCTCTGTTCTTGGGGAGGAAGGTAAGTCTGTGATCTCCTTCAACCAGTGATTATAAGCCATGAAGTTAATATGTGAATCTATTAACATCCCAATGCTCTAGTAGAATCTCCCTCAAGCAAAAAACCATTTAACCCGACTCCCTAGTCATTCTAGGGGGGTTAAGATTTCTGCCTCTAGAGCAAATTCTGGCAGCTGGTTTTGAGAAAGCAAGGCTTTATGTTTCCTCCATTGATTCTTGAATATACTCCGAATTTTCAAGTGACCTGGCTCCCCATAAGTGCTTTTCACCAGAAGTTTTCCGTCTTGCGAATGGGTCAACAGAAGGGGAAGGTTTAGAACTCATTAGATTTGTAGGTAACAACCTTCCAGTCCCTCAAAACTAAGCTCCAAGGCACACCTTTGAAATCGTTTTCAGCATAATCCCGAAAGGAACTCCAACATAATACCTTACCCCTAATTTCTTCTTGTAGAGAATCCTTACCATTTTAAAGTTACTAAGATTTCTTTCTTACAATATAATTTAAATTGAAGTTTATAGGTTTTGAAAAGATTCTATTTGAGTTAGCAAGTCAGTTCATTGGTGATACTGCATAGTACCTTGTTTGGTTTGTGTGCTAACGTCAAGGTTGCTTCTACGGGCTCTAGGGTTTAAATGCTTGCTTTTTGCAAATTTTCAGGAAATACATTTCAAGCTTCAGGCCTGAGCGAGAAGGCAAGCTAGGGTCTCTTCTTGATATGATAGGTAAAAATTAAAATTATACTAAAGTTATTTGTTGTGTTTGCACTTTTTTGTTTTTCCCAGCCATCTATTTCATAGTTGAAATTCCCTTTTTTTATTTTATAAATATAATACCTCCTTCGACAATAATGCTAGTTTTAGTTGCATTATTTTCTTAAATAGGCGTTTTAGTTTTGGCTGATTAAAGCATTTAAATATGGTTATGAAGTTTCGTTTTGTTTTGTGTTGCATTTGAAGACTCATTTATATCCTTCAGAATGAAATGCTTTAAAAAATAATGATCTTTCCATTAATAGAAAGGTTTAATAATTCTATCAATCATCATTGTCGCCTGCTCCAAATGTGATATATTCATTCTGTAAATGGCTCTAGACAAAATGGCCCTCAGAAGCTACATAAAATGCAAAGGAATAATTTTCTTTCCATTAGATGTCCAAAATTCATTGTGGCATGGCGAAAGAGATTTGGTCACTGCTGCCACTTTGTTTGGCTTGATGTGGATCTTCCCTAGGTCGATAGTTGATTATTTTCTTAAATAGGCGTTTTAGTTTTGGCTGATTAAAGCATTTAAATATGGTTATGAAGGTTTGTTTTGTTTTGTGTTGCATTTGAAGACTCATTTATATCCTTCAGAATGAAATGCTTTAAAAAATAATGATATTTCCATTAATAGAAAGGTTTAATAATTCTATCAATCATCATTGTCGCCTGCTCCAAATGTGATATATTCATTCTGTAAATGGCTCTAGACAAAATGGCCCTCAGAAGCGACATAAAATGCAAAGGAATAATTTTCTTTCCATTAGATGTCCATGATTCATTGTGGCATGGCGAAAGAGATTTGGTCACTGCTGCCACTTTGTTTGGCTTGATGTGGATCTTCCCTAGGTCGATAGTTGATTTGATGCATTGGGAAGTGACTATATTGAAGGAAGGAGACTTTGGAATTGCCCCTTTGTTGGATACGCTGTACGTTTGGAAGGCAGACTTGGAGATCATTTTTTTTTTTTGATAAATAGACTCGGAGATCATTTTTGTTGGTACTTGTGTGAAGTAGAAAAGTTCCTCCCACATTTGAAGACAATAAAATACCAAGAATCTTAATATACATTGGATGGATTCTTTAGGCCATGAACATCAGTGTTAGTGCACTTGCAAAGTGACTCCTGATGTTGTGGGTGACTCTCAATGGAGCAAGAAAAATCCAAATGCCTGCGGGATGATGGCTCTCAGTGGAGTGGGAGTGGTGAGTGGGTAACTCTCGATGGAACCAGAAAAATCTGAGTGCCTGCAAAATAGTGGCTCTCGATGGATTGGGTGCAGTGACTCACCCCAAGTTTGGACATGGTATTGGATGGAGAGTAGTAGATCAGAATCAGGGGGGAACTGGGTCTGGTTCACAACTTCACACATTGTGTGAAGTAGAAAAATCCCACATTGTAAGAAACTAAAAAGAGATAGGGACTTAATATATATATATATATGTTGGATGGACTCCACACCTACATGTTTAAGATGGTGTGAGTTCCAAATAATGTGTATCGGACCGGTGTATTATTTAGTCGGGTGATGGGGAGTGTTAATCTCTGGTTTGAATCATTTATGTATCCTATTGATACTCTCGATTCTATTGTCTGTATATAGGTTCTTTTTGTTTTGTCTCCCCCCAACAAATAGATACAAGTGTTGCACCTCCTATGGCCCATGTGATACAATTTTCTTATCATTTTTTTTCTTCATTCCATTAAGTCAATACACATCCTAACAAATATACCAACCCTTGTGATTGCTAATTCCTTGCAGAGTTGGTGTGGCGTTGTATACTAAGGAAGCAACTTCAGACAGTCTTCTCTGTGATACTCGGCTGTATGTCAGCTGCAATTCTTCTGGCTGAGGCTACTATACTGCCCAGTGGGGTTGATTTATCTCTGTTTTCTATTCTAATAAAAGCTGTAGGAAAGGAAGAGGTGCTTGTGCAGGTAAATTTTGTTATAGTTTTTATTTTCTTTTAGTTCCATCAGCTTATCTTAGGTGAAATCATAGCTTTGATTCTCAAAAGGTAAATATTTTAGATATTTAGTAATTCAGTTTAAGTTTTCAATTAAGATTTGCTTGATTCCAGAGTACAACTAACAAACTATAACTTGATTTGACTATGGAAATTTTGGACTACATCCTCATGTTATTCCTGTAGTAGTTTTATACAGTGGCAAGTTAGACTTGTGTTTTATTCTTGTGATGGTGCATTTCAATGTGAAAAATTTCTAGTTAATCATGAATCACTCCTTTATTTCCATTACTCTCTATTTGGTTGTTGAGAACATCAGAAAGGAAATGGTTCCTGAGAAAACTGAATCAAAGGAAAAACAAAAGAAGTTCACCCTCAACCATCTGTTCATGGATAGCTCCACATAAGAAAATAAGAGTCACAACTTTTCCTCCATGAATAATTTTATAAAAAAATGTGGGAGGCTAAATATTTGGACATGCCATACGTAATTTAGTAGCAATTAAAAATTCTGAATAAATTTTCAAGGAAAAACCATCATTAAGCAGGGATAATATATGTATTATACTGTGTGGTTGAGGAATAACACCTTTTGGTCCTAATCTGTTTGGCATAACCTAAGCTGTGAAGGTTTTCCAAAAGATGCTTTGGATGGTTCACCTTCCAATCTGAAAGGTTTTTTTGTGTAGCACTGTAGTCATGATTATCATCCCGGTTCATAGAATTCTGTTAATGTGAACCAAGTGAAGTGAAGAGTTGCCAGGAGGGGGGAACCAAAGTGCATATTTGCATAGTGCATATTTGCATGTAGCTGTGGACTTGGTTAAAGAACCTTATTTATTAGTAGTGGTAGATGTGAAATTGCAAAGCCGAGAAATAAAGTAGATAAAATCTGATTTAGGTCCTCATCATTGACTTTCTTGAGAATACAAAGGTCCATTCAAATTATAGAACTAGGAATATGAACCTTGTTGTATATTTGTTCTAAAAGCAGGCAAGGGATGTGGTTGGATTTCTTGTGTTGTTGATGACCCCTCAGGGTTAAATTTTCTTGTTCTTTTTGTTCTCTGCAAAAGGGTCTCTTGTGCTTTGTCAAGGATTCCATAGTTCCTTTTGATTTTGAAACACATCAGCTTCAGTTGACTGGAGGAAAACAATAGGTGTTGGTTTCATGACTTCCCTCTTCTGCTAGGCATGGTGCAAGATTGTTTTGATTTGAACCATATTGTCTGATATTTTGATGCAGACTAGACTAATTACTGTCAGCTTGGAGTTGACGAGGGTTGTGGCCTCTTTGCTTGAAAAATATTACTCTGCCATCAATTCAATTGTGAAGTTCTATTTTGTAAAATGCCCTTGTAGATTAATTTGTTTTTCTTTTGCAGGTGACTGCCTTCATTCCTCTGATGTATATGTGTGTTTGCACATACTATTCCTTGTTCAAAATTGGAATGTTAACATTTTACTCATTTACTCCAAGACAAACAAATTCAGTCAGCTTGCTTATGATATGCTCGTATGTATCCTCCCCCCCGTCTTTCCCTTTTTCTTTAATAAAGCATTGTTCAAACTCTCAGAGATATCTACTTTATGTGTATTGTGAGACATCTATTTGATGTGTATTTACTTCTTGAGGATGTTGGTAATAATTCTCACTAAACATCTTTACCAGGATGGTTGCTCGATATGCACCTCCAATTTCCTACAACTTTCTCAATCTTATTCGTCTGGAAGGCGACCGCAAAACTGTCTTTGAAAAGGTCTGCCTTTTCTGTATCATTTCTTATTTCTCAGTATAGTTAAATGTGCATACATTTTGTTAACTATATCCTTTATTTGAAAGTGTGACAGTATCCTATTTTCATGTGCAGAGAATGGGGAATATTGATGATGCTGTCCCTTTCTTTGGGAAAGGATTCAATAAAATCTACCCGCTTATCATGGTTATATACACCATAGTGATTGCAAGCAATTTGTTTGATCGGGTCATTAATTATTTTGGAAACTGGAAGATATTCAGGTTTCAAAGTGATGCTGAAGATATGGATGGATTTGATCCATCAGGATTGATTATTTTGCAGAAAGGTGTGTAAACTGAGATCATGTCTCTTGTTTGTATTTGGTGTGTGTTTGGCATGTGTTTGGCATGTTTCTATCCTTTGCATTTTGCAGTTATAGGCATTATGGAATTCTGGATTCAATGTTCTTGAACCTGTGGGCTAATCACTTATGGGAGAGAAGAAATGAAAATCAAATGAAAACTGATTTATTTATTTCTCTCCTGGTTATCAACAACCACTATAGTTGCTTAAATCATATGAATTTTTTTTTCCATTTTTCTTTTTAGAACGGTCTTGGCTTGAACAAGGACACAAGGTTGGTGAACTCGTTATTCCATTAGCAAGGAATTTCAACAATGTAAGCTTGGATCTTGAGTCTAGCAGCAATAACAAGGTATGTATTAATTCCTAGTAATATAATAAGATTTTTCCTTTTATTTATCAAAAAAAAGATTTTGCCTTTTGTTCTTTTCATTTTTAACAAAGAATACCAGTCACAATTATACTGTGTATATATTTTTATTCAAAATGGTCAAGGTTTATATTTTTTCAATTTATGACATTAAGGACACTTTTGACTGGGGATATGGTTTATAATTGAGGCAACTGGAGAAAATGGGTTCATGTGGCCAACCCTACCTAATTGCTATTAAGGCTTGTATTTTTTGGCAATTAATTTCATAGTTGATTCTTTCGTTGACATACAAACTCAAACCAATGTTATAGAGACTGCTCTGGCAATTAAACCAAAGAAGTGTCTAGATTGACATCTCGTAGACAAATGAAAAACGTTATTTTACTCCACTGATGCATCATATAGGTCCCAAAATATATTAGCAATTTCTGATGTCATTAACTTCTTATAAAATTAATGACTAAGAAACCCATACTGGTTGGTCCAATTGGTTGATTGTGGTTCCTTTATTTATTTTTTTGGTTGAAATAATCTATTCTTTTATTTACCAAATCAAATTAGAGATGAGATAAACTTATTAAGTCACTTCTTGCCCATTTAATTTCTTCTTGGTTTTATTATTCCACAAATTATAACTCTCTCCGTTACTTGGAAATGGTGTTTGAAAAAGGTCAACGTTGAAATGAAAGCGACAACCAGTTTAATTGAGGATGGACAACGAGGTTACTCAAAGCCTCCACAAGGAGAGGCCCAACATCAGACCACAAGAGAATCCATTGGCAGAAAGTACACGGCCATAAGGACACAACCAAGCAAAGAACCGACCAACCTAAATGCCACTTCATCCGATGCAAGCAAGTCTCAGAATACAACCACTGGATCGTCTTCTGGTGTAGCCTCAACCTGGGAATCTATGAAGTCAGGTTTCCAAAATTTCAAGTCTAATATAGGGGCCAAGAAATTCCTTCCCTTGCGCCAGGTTCAAGATACGGATCACTCCCAAGGTTCCTCATCCGAATCCCTTGATGAAATATTCCAGAAATTAAAACGGCCAACTGTAGATCATAGAAGTTATGGCGCTGATGATTATGACGATGAACTTGGTGATCATGCAATGCCAGGGAGCACCAGGTGATCACATCTAACCAATGGTCTTGTGCAATTGGGGCAATTGTGCATTTTGTTTCATTGAATCATGAGAAATATATGCATTCTGCAGAGATGACACGACACAATGATGCTAACTGCTCATCAACTGCAGCAATGGATGAGGTTAGCAAACATAAAGAGTATACATATATTATTACTAGTATACAAGAAAATACAACCCATGTTTTTTGGTCCAATTTGTATGTAGTCGGGGAACACTGTAAACTTGTGACTGTCATGGAAAATCTGGATGTAATTGAATATAGTCATCGCAATTAATGTAATTTTTTTTTTCTCTCTCCTCATCAGGAAGGAGTTATCATAGAAATTCTTCTTCTTGGGTTTGTCAGAGACATGTATTATGTATTGCAGAATTCAAAATTTATTTTATTTTAAACCTAGTTTTTGGTTATTATCTGTGATATAAAATATTATGACTCTAAATTTAGAAATTGTAATTGAAGACAGGTTTTGCCTTGTCTAAACGCTGGTGGTACAAGGACAAGGAAACTTATTCCTCAAAAAAAATAATAAAAATAGGACAAGGAAACTCCTTTGGTGTTCATCTATGGACCGTTTGGGGAAAACATATGATATTTATTTATTTATTTATTTTTGAGTTTTGATATACAAACAACGTAGTTGTACAGAAAATTCAAATACAATGATGTGTCCATGTGTCAATTCATTTCAAATTAATTTTACTTTAAAATGGCTTGTAATTTTTAAAACATCACTACTACATCATTCTTGTAAAAAAATTTTGTTTATAAATCACTCTTCTATTTTTATATGTTGATTCATGGGGCAACGGTTGCCCAATTGGTAATCTTCCCTTTTACCCATGAGTTTTCGATGGATTTTGAATTTGTAAAAATGAAAAAGTGAATAAATTAGAAGGGTTTTATTGATTTTTATTTTTTATTTTTTTATATAACGATTGTACTTATTTTTCATAAAATTTTTAATATATATTTGAGAAGATTGGTGATTTTTTCTTGGATTGTAATTGTTTTTTGGACAAATTTATTTTTTATTTTATTGTTTGGTTGGAATGGCCATTTGAGATAGGTAACATTGTTTATTAATATAATGTTTTTCATGTTTAAAAAAAAAAAAAAAATTAAACACAATCACTTGATAAAAAATGTGGAATACCCAGACCCGGTCCAGTCCAGTCCAGCAGAGGGCCCATGGTCTGGGCCAGTTTACTCTAATGCGCTATATATACAGTATACGTATAGCTTCTTCCCGCCCAAATCTGTTACAATCTCTCTCTCTCTCTGTGAATTTGAAAATGGAGGAGGAAGAAGAAGGTCCAAAGACAGATATGGCGCGGTATCTGATACAGCACCACTCCGATCAGCTTCGTTCCATCATTCTCTCCCCTGATCCTCGTCTTCATTACCCTCTCTATCTCGAGTATTATTATACCCCAAAACCCTCCTCTCTCTCTTTCTCTCTCTCTCTCTCTCTATATATATATATTATTCTCTCTCTAAACTTACTCTCTCTTTCTCTTTCAGTTTTGCAGAGTTCATGGATTACCATCCACCGCTAGCTTACATCGTTTTCTCCCAACCCGTCGAGTACTTGCGCCTATTCGACAGTGCTGCTGTCTGGGTTCAGGTTCCTTCAATTTCTCTCTCCACATATGTATATATATATATAGATACGTTTGATTTATCAATGTATTGTTCTTGAATTGATTTAATTGCAATGTTTATGGGAATTAGAAAGTCATGTGTCAGAATTTTAAAGCTGGGGATAATGCCAGCGTGAAAATGTTTGTGCACGTTCGGATTAATGTTAGCGGTTCTCCTCTCGAGTGCCCCGGTTAGATTGTGTTCATACTTTTTCTATTTTAGGACATATTTTAGGTTATTGTCTGATTGTTTTCTGTGAATTTTTGGGCATGTTTAGAGACCTTTCCGAGCATTGGGCGCACACGAGTGAAGCATCGTGGGATTCTTCTCACTCTAAAAGGAACTGTAATTCGGTCTGGGGCAATCAAGATGTTTGAAGGGGAGAGGGACTTTGAATGCCGAAAATGCAAGAAAAGGTGGTGGTTGCTTGCAGTTTTGCTTCATTGTGCTTTAGTTTAAAACTATAAGCCAAATTATTGAGATAACTCTTCAAATGACAAATTTAAGATGGTAAAAAATTTCAATTCATTGGAATATTATCAACTAAATTTCTTTGTGGCTTCTGGTTTTGTTAAAACGTGTTTTTAAATTTACTAAATTTAGCATGATCTAAACTTCCATCATTGTAATGATGGTCGAAAATTGAATTTGATAATTAAGAGTACATCATTTGAAACACTAGAAATATGCTTCAACTCCAATTCTTGCATAATGTCACTTGCCTCTCAAAAAGATTAACTTCCGGAACTCATCTTTAGTGCTGACTGTTAATCTTGGTGATATTGCTCTTGCATCCTGAATACGTGTTGTTATTTGAGAATATATTTGCAAATCTACCATAAGTATGATGGTCTATGCTAGTTGAAGTTTCTCAAATGAGCATCTGTGAAGTTGACAATGCTTGGGTGCAGGACCCAAGTTCATCCTGAGCTGGAAACTAGAAATACACTACGACAGCCATTATCTTGTCGTCGTTCCCAGGTTTAATCTTTACACTTTTCATGAAACACATAATTTTTTTTGGGTATAATTATTTAATAATTTTGAAGATAACAAACACAAGCTAGATAGCAACAATTAAATTAAGCCATGTGTTTACAAATGATATAAATCACTTTTTAACTGTTTTAAGTTCCTTTAGGCTGCATATAATCTGTGATTCTGCAGCTCAATTTTTCAGAATGAATTTTGATGCTTCATGATGAAAAATTGAAAGTTCAAGGTACACTCAAATTTAAGGAGGTTAAGGCTTTGTTAATGTGGGACTTGAGCTTTCAATTGTAGTTTCTCTATTTAGACAAGTTTTAAATTTTTCTTTGTGCCTTTTCCTTCTAGTGTCTTTCAACTATGCATTTGTTAGCTATTTGTTTTATATGAAGTTCTGTCTTGATTAGCTATTCTTGGTGTTTAATGACTAAATTAATTGTCTCCCTAACAGGGTTCTAAAATTTGTGAAAGCATCAGTTTCCAGTTTGTGGAAGGCAGTACAATATGTCATGATTATCAGGAAATTAAAATCCAAGAAAGTACACAAGTATTGGGTGTTGGGGCAATCCCTCGTTCAATTCCTGTCATTTTGATGGATGATCTCGTTGACATTGTTAAGGCTGGAGGTACCACATTCTACAAAGCTCATATTTGATCTCCTAACGAGTCTTGGTGTTGCTCTTGTTTGTTTAGAGGTCTTACACATGTAGTTATCAGCTAAGAATTTGATATAGTACAAACCATAGTATATTAATCAGGAAGAAGAATAAGTAAACTGATGTTACTACATATAAAACACACAGCCCAAACAAGCTGTGCATGTTTAGTGTTGTTCAACCAGCCAGAGTACTAGGACTAATATTTCCAGTGTGGATTAAAAAAGGATAGAATTTTCTCACCAATCTCAATACCATTGTCTGTTCTTTTCCTAGAGCAAGAGGAGGAACAATACATGAAAATGGATAACGCTATATGTGAATGAAATCATGTCTTATAATATGTTTGTGGGGCCCTAAAATATATCTACATTAAACAGATTTCTCCTTGGCTTCCATGTCCATTATGTATCCTTAATCAAGTTTTGGAGAGTGAGATTAATACACAGAAGCAAACTGAAGAATTGAATACATCTCTTCACTCCCAACTCCCCTTCCAGACAAGTCTCTTGGGTCAGTAAAAGAGGAGTTGGTTGGTTCGAGGACTGACATGGAAACAATGGATTTACGACTAGGTGGGTGGCAACTCAAAAAAATGGATACAGTTGAGTCTTGTGGGTCAAGTGGGCATGGTCCAAGTTAACAAACATCTGAAAATTTTAAAGAGGGAGGAAAAATGATGAATGACCTAGGCAGAGAACATCAAGGGGAGTCCGAATGCAAGAACCATAGGAAACAATAGATGATATGATAGGCAGAAGAAAGGGTTGCCATGTAATACAAGATCCTTGGTCTACTCCTAGCAAGCAATAAGTTAATGCAACCCCAAGACAACAATTTTTCATGCAGTACCTATATATTGTTATGGTGCCTTGGATTGGAACAAGGTTTGTCGTTTAAAGGCATTCTCAGAAAAATAAGGAAAAACTTGCCATATATGCAAACTTCTATGCTAAAGAAAGAGATCTAGGCCTCGTTTGGAGACAAACTATTTTAGTAGCTTTTTGGCTTTTTACGAAAAAATGTGCAGAAAAATAGAGAGAGTGATGTGACAACTGATAGTGCCTTTTTGGCTAAAATATTTATCTCCAAACAAGGCCTTAATCTGTATATCAAGTGGGATGTGGTATAGTGTTAAATGTTAAGCATTTTGATTACTTGCATCATGCTCATGATATCTATATTCATTTGCCAAACTTTGTGCTGTTCAATTTTTTTTTTCTTTATTGGGGAAATAACCTTTTTGAGTTCTTTATTCAGATGATGTAATTGTTACTGGGGTTTTGACTGCAAAATGGTCCTCGGATTTGAAGGATGTGCGTTGTGACCTTGATCCTGTATTAATTGCTAATCATGTGAGGTAATCAAAATTGTTTCTCTAATATTAATTGAATATTTTAGTATTACACTTTAGGCAATTGTGGAAGCATTTAAACAGGGTAGTATAAGAGAGCTTCTGTTATTCTGCGTTTGATCATTTGGTGTTAAGATTGTAATGTTGAAATGTGAATATTAGATTTATTTTTCTCTCAATTATGGCTTAACTTTACAAGCCCCATCTAGTATTTTGCTTTTCTTTTTCTGAATTTGCAAATACCTCCACAAAAATCCTAGTTTGGAAATTTTTTTATTTTTTATTTGGCACGTCTGACTTCCAGAGATAGATGACTTATTTACTGTTTGATTTTTGTGATTTGTGGCTTATGCTTATAAGCTTCGTCGAACTACTCGAAGTAAGCCTCTAGATACTAGTATTGATGCAGATTAGAGTTCCTTAAATTTCCATGGCATGCTGTATTTTTACCATGATAATATCATCGTGTTGTCTTGATCATTGGCACTTCAAATAGATGTGTGTTAGATGCAAATATGTGAAGATATTTTTACTAAATAAATATATTTCCAAATTCTCAATCTAACCTGACTTTGTGATGAGGCATCAAGTTTGTGTCAATAAATTATTTCGGGGCAACACAAAAGACAAGTCAAATATTTTTTCAATGTTAGGAAATCGCAAAATAATTTTAAAGTGTATGGAAAATCTTGGAAATATAAAAGAAAAGAACCACTGATTTAGATGCATGAACAGGCTTAATAAATAATCAATTTAGTATGTTGGTTTATGCAGCAATTCACCATGGAAGAAAGATGTATGGGGAGTGACTTAAAGATGCCACCATGAAGAGAGAACTTTTGTATGTAATAAACCAAACCATGAAAGATGAAAAATGCTCCACTCATGTTAAACACGATATGCATGAGACTTTTCTCAATCGACACCCAGGCTGGTATTAAAAAAAAGACTGGTAAATAAGATAGCTGTATTGGTTTAGTTTTTCAGCAGGAGGTCACAAAGCAGGAGTTTAACGTTACCTGTGGTCAAGTAACTAATCAGAATCTTTTGGGCATAATAAACTCAATTTGAAGCCATTTATACTAGAATAGTCTTTCCTTGTGTATATTTCAGAAGGGGGAGAGTTTTCAAGGTTGTCCACAGTCTCCAGATCCCATTTGCATCCTGTTTTAACTATGTAATTGCTACATGTATATTTTACTGGCTCATTGTACTTTACTTTTAATATTAAATCTGATCATGAATTTTTCTTTCTGCTGTCTTTCTTTACATTTATATTCCAGAACTAAGGCACGTATATGGCACCCATAATTAACTACTGGAGTCTGAGCCTCTCAATTTTCTTGATAATGATGAATATTTGCTATTTTATTATTGATAATTTGATCCCTTTATTCATGTTTCATAATGATATGTGTTCTTGGTTCTGGCCAGAAGTAACTCAATTGCATTTTATTTCTTAATACTTTGCTTTAAAAGCTTGAAGCATACTTCGGTGCCTTCTCCCTATTGCAAGCTTACTTTGTGAAATGCAGTCATAGGTTCATAATTCTAATCAGGTTGAATACTTGAAATAAGTGATTTGTCCTTTCCCCAATGTTTTCTTTTAAATGAATTATTTTCATTTTTAGGAGAATCAATGAGTTGAAGACAGACATTGATATTCCTGATAACGTTATTAATCAATTCAAGAACTTCTGGTTGAATTTCAAAGATACACCTTTAAAAGGTAAACATATCTTATAAAATTCAAGTTCTGGTTATATATATACATATATCTATATTTGGATTCTATTTGCTTCTGCACCAAGCTGTTTGGGTTGCTGTTCTACTTCTATAGTTTTGCCTAACATTTCAACGTCACCACAGGGAGGAATGCCATTCTGCGAGGTATATGCCCACAAATTTTTGGACTCTTCACTGTAAAGCTTGCAGGTGTTTTATCATCACATTTTAATTTGTCCCTTTTCACTTAACTTCTAAGGTTGTCATTGCATTGTGTGCTTCAGTTTTGGACATAAAAATAACTATATTTAGTGATGATTTTCATTCAATCTAGTTGCATTAACACTTATTGGAGGTGTGCAACATGCTGATGTTTCTGGGACGAAAGTTCGAGGAGAGTCTCATTTGCTTCTGGTTGGTGATCCAGGTGACCTTTTTCTTTTCATATATAATGTAGTTGGCATTTTATAAGTAAATTCTTGTGTGCTTCCTGTGGCATAAATTTGAACAATTGAAAAGAAAAGAAATTGCAAATATAGTAGATAATTATTAACTTCACTGCCCCACCCATGGTCATTGCTTCCTTAAACTTATTTACACTTCTAGACTGACTAGAGTTTTCTTTGATTTTGTAAATTTTAATTCAGTATTAAGTTTTCACTTAATAAAATTTCTTAAACCTTTGGAAATTATTCTACTTTTGGCATAATTATAATTAAAACTGGAGTAAAAAATTAAATCCTCACTCCACCCTGTAATCAATCATGACATTTTGTTGATCTAGTCCATTCATGATTGACTAGACCTGGCATGGCACTGAGGATGCTGTTACAATTCTAAATACTAATCTTACACTACCATACATTTATACTAGTCTCATATCACAAATATATGTTTTTTTTGCTTCATGAGCTAGATTGAAAATTGTAGCCTGTAATTTTAATATGCATTCCTGTAGTTAGAACATAGAACCTGAAATAATTTTTTAATACCTCCTGGTTTTAGTATAATGATTACTTATTACAAGTACAATATGCTAGAGGAAGTAATACTGCTTAGTTATCTTGTGGAAACAGTACATATATATTTAAATCGGATGACTAACTTGAGCAAAAGGCTATTTTCTGTTCACAGACATTTCACAGACATCTAGATGAAAACAAGTAACCTAATCTTTGTGCACTATGCCAAAGGTTAGGTGTGTACCCAATCTTTCCTCTCTTAGACATAGATTAATGTGTACTAATTAGGCGTTATTTTTTTTAGTGTTGGTCTTGAATAATACCAATCTAAAATTTTTATTTCATAATTTGTTTCAACTGCTAAAATGGTACAAAAATTGATGCATTAAAGTTTTTCTGTAATTCTATAACTCTACAAGGTACTGGAAAGTCTCAGTTCTTGAAGTTTGCAGCTAAATTGAGCAATAGATCAGTTATTACTACTGGTTTGGGAAGCACTAGTGCTGGATTGACAGTTACTGCTGTCAAGGATGGAGGTAACCTTGTTGACCTTCTGGCCTAATAGTTATGTTTGAACTTGGGTCAAGTTTGCAACATATTTGTTGTTTTATTTGTCTCTTTATTTGCTTTCTTTGTTTTCTTTCATCAGATAATGTGCTTCATAGTTTTATTTCAGAAGAAGTTATGTAGCTGTTTAGTGAGGCAACTGAAAATTTGTACTCCCTAATTCAGAATGTGTTTCTCCCTTTGATTGATCCCATGAAGGGAACTTGACATGAAAGGAGTTTTCATTAAGATTTTCAGTGGTCAGTGTAAGATTTAGTCACTTGTTTGGTGCTGGAATACATTCTTTTTCTTGACTGAGCTATGGCAAATGGTTTGCAACTTGCATTGTTGTGGGAATAAGCCAGGAATGACTACTGGTGGGGTGTAAAATTGTCATAATTATCATCCATCTCCCTCCCTCTTCTGTGTGTGTGTGTTTGGTGAAACCTGTTGTTGTGGTTGGATGACTTTGGAAAGTGAGAACATGTCTCCCCCGTATCAAACTACATAGGATATTCCACTAAACTACAGTTCTCTTGTTATACATCTTTTTGGCATCACATGAGAAAGTCTATTTGTTTGAGAATTTTCTTTTTGAAATCCCTGGAAAGTTTTTCCTTGGACCTGCCTTTCACTAAAAGATAACATATATGGAAACTTCAGTTCAACAAAATACTGAATGTATTTACTTATAGAACAAGAAAAAGAAAATACTAAATGCATTGATTGAACTTTCAGGGGAATGGATGTTGGAAGCTGGGGCCCTTGTATTAGCTGATGGTGGTCTTTGTTGCATAGATGAATTTGACAGGTATTCCTAATACCTTTGAATGGCTGCATTAAAATTTTGTTTGCTGTAATCAACATTCAAAGGTGTTGGAAAGATTGATATGCATTGTTGGCTCCCTTTCCTAGGCTTTTGGGACTAGTGGTAACATGGTGGCAGAGCTCAGGTTAAGTGAGGTCTTGGATTCAAGTCTCTCCATTTGCATTTGTTTTTCCGTTTGCATTATATTTTTTCACTTGTTTGGATGTTTGGTGTTGGAAAGCTTGATATGCATTGTAGGGCTCTTTTCCTGACATCTTAAGATTTTGGGACTCATGGCGCTCTAACAAAAATAAGAAACCAACTTATCTTTTGTGTTTTCATCCATTGGTAAGATGTACTCCACCTAAGAATGTTCTGACATCCCTATTTTATACAAACTCAGAGATGATAAGTGCTGGAAATTTGTGTTAATAATAAGATAGTGGCATGGATATAATATGATAGTGGTGTTGTTGGTGGTAGATAGTGGCATGTATAGAATATGTGATAGTGGTGTTGGTGGTAGATAGTGGCATGTATATAATATGTTAGTGGTAGATAGTGGTAATATATAATATGTAAGTGGCATATAATGGGTTATAATGATGTTTGTAATATCTCCTATATAAGGAGTGTCATTTGGTCTTGTAAGATAAGAAGTTTTGAATATAACAAAAATATATTCCTTCTTCCTCATATTTTCGGAGTTCTTCTTCCTCATATTTTCTAAGTTGGATCTTAAGATATTTGAAAGGAACTCCAGGGAGAGGCTTACTGTTCAAGAAACATGGGCATCTTCAAGTTGAAGTATACACAGATGCAGATTGGGCAGGAAGTGTTACAGACAGGAGATCAACATCCGGATACTGCTCCTTTGTAGGTGGGAACCTAGTTACATGGCGGAGTAAAAAACAGAATGTGGTAGCTAGAAGTAGTGCAGAAGCAGAGTTCAGAGCTGTTGCCCATGGAATCTGTGAAGTAATGTGGATTAAAAGAATTCTTGAAGAATTAAAGCTTTCTCACCCGACACCTATGAAGGTCTATTGTGACAACAAAGCAGCTATATCTATAGCTCATAATCCAGTTCTACATGATCGCACAAAACATATAATAAGACTACTTGTGCTATAAAATTAATGATCCCATAGTATCTAACAGTTTTGAGAAGAACTAACATGGTTTCATTGTGAAAATTCTGTGATGTTTTAAATACGAATAAATATATTCATGACTTGATTTATTCAGTTATAGCCCCCAAATTTCAATTCCCCATCATGGGCTTAAAATCATATCTGAATACATTAGTTGGACAAAAGTAGATAGTATATCATGCTTCCCATTTAAAATAGGAAACTTAATAATACCATTAACTCATGAGAAACCTCAGCACTATCAATTGTCCTTGGCTCAACAAAGCATCTTTTATTTTTATTTTTGCTTAAAGCAGGCCTAGATTTTTATATTTCTTTTGAACTAAAGTACAGTGTACCTTTTGCTTGGGGAAATTGAGATTAATTGCTAAATGAGGTAGTATCTGTCATTCTGTTTAACAAGAAATGCTAATGCAATGTATGAAACATAGAAGGTAGTCTTCCACATGCAGGCATGCTTGGCTAAGCAAAAACTGTCTTAAGAAACATTCATTTGAGTAAGCATTCAATTAGTCAGATATTGGATACCTATTATGGTATCCTTATTAATAAAAAAAAGGACATGTTATGTTATCTAGTACTGAACTCAAATAACTCTTTGTTGGCAGCATGAGGGAACATGACAGGGCAACGATACATGAAGCAATGGAGCAGCAGACTATAAGCATTGCCAAGGTAGGTTATTTTATTACATTTTAATTAATTGGAAAAATTCCATTAAATTTGTAAATACTCTTAAACACAAGTACTTGTTTCTTTCTGTATTTAAGCTAAAATTTCTATTGCTCTTCACATTAAAGAACAGTGTCCCAAGGAAATACCAAATTTCACGTGCATGCCAATTCAAATTCACACTTGGTACGATATTGATCAAAATTGCACTAGTACAAAATGTGGTATGTACTTTTAGGTTTTTCCTTATGGTTGATCTATGAAGCATGAGTATTTCGAAAAACATGCCGTATCCGTACCAGGTACTTACCGGCGTATGATACCTCGTATGGTACTGCTGCATACGTACGGGATACATGAAACACGTATCTAAATTTTTTCTTTTTAATTTTTGACATACCCAGACATACCTAGTATATACCCAAGCCGTACCTTACCTCAGTTGAAATAATATTTTCTTCTACTTCTTTTTTATATTTTGTTTTACGCTTAGTATGATTTTAAAATTAAACTATGGTTTTGTAAGTTATTTAATATATTGACATTTAATTTTGATTTATACCTTTACTTTTGGCATTAAATGTTAATTGTATGTTGGACCTTAACAAATTAAACTATTTAATTAAGCTTTGCATTAGCTAAATTAAAAATAGATTTTTTTTACAACTGTACCAAGCCGTACCCGTACCTAATTTTTTTTGAATTTTACCGTATCGACGTACCTGTATTGTACCAGTACTCGTACCCGTACCCGTGCTTCACAGTGGTTGATCCATATTGGTTGTTTTGAAAATCCACTTGATTGTGTGAATTAAGTTTCATTCACGTCTAACATCAATAAGCATGTGATTATAGGACAAGTTGTGGAGTTAGTATACTGTTAGTTATCTTTTAAGTTTTGATTTTTGAATTGAGCTTTTTGTACTTGTGGAAACATGACTCCTGGATATCATTTGCTTTTTTCAGGCTGGTCTTGTGACAACTCTCAGTACTAGGACAATTGTCTTTGGTGCAACGAATCCCAAGGGACAGTATGATCCCAATCAACGTATCTTTTTGTCATTTTGTCTTTCATATTTTGAATTTACCCCCACAAATTACTCAACTATAAATTACCCCCACAGTATGATCCCAAGGGACACTATATCGGTTATTGCTCACCTATAAAATGTCCAGTCACTTAGTCAGTAGTCACCATCGTCGTCCAATTTTTAAATGGACATAAATGTGAACAGTAAGCAAACTTGGTGCATTCATATCCCTTAGTGTCGGTCTTTTAGTTGATTATTCTTGTTTGTCTTTTTACTCATACTTAACACAAGCTAGCTCTGTCTGTCAACACGGCTCTCTCTGGGCCCTTGCTAAGCAGATTTGATATAGTCCTAGTCCTGCTGGATACAAAGAACCCAGAGTGGGATGCAGTGGTTTCTTCTCACATACTTGGTGTGGTAATGGCTGTAAGATTAATGTTGAATGACTCTAATTATGCATTTGAATAAATCCAAGTAAGGTTTGTATTTTGATATAATCATCAGGCTGAACCAGAAAAAGGCAAGCATGATGAAGATTTAGCAAATATTTGGCCACTTCCATTGCTTAGAAGGTGAACTTTTTAAAAGCATATGCACCTTTAAGGATTTGGTTTAATGAATAAACAATGTGATATTTTGTTACTACATATATACATTCTTCATACTCTTATGTCATGTTTGGTTCATTGGAATAGAATGGAATGGATTAGATTGTCGATTCTCACGTTTGGTTGACTTAAAAAATAAGAGAAAATAGAAAATGGAATCATCATTGACCTTCATTCTAGTGAACCAAGCACTACCTTAGTGCCAACAATGCCTGCTTCAACCTGGAACCATGTTGATGCCAGTCTTACTTGGTATCAATATTAAATCTCAGGGTTGCTCCCAATAAACACCTACTTAGGAGAAGATATGTCTTTGTGGCATTCATGTTGGTATCGGTATTAAACCTAATGAAAGTTATTTTCATTTTCACTTACGTTCCGAATACATTTGATTCGATAGGGCTAGAATAAGTATGCTTGTTTGTGTGATTGTCATTTAACTTGGTGAAAATAAAATATCTAACATGCAAGTGATGAATAAACCTCAATGCGAAGGATGATTAAATGTCTACATGATTTTTTATTTCATATTGAGTGGCTTTGCTCATATAACTCTCTTCTTTAATTTCATAACTACTATGCAACTCTCAACTTACTTTTGCAGGTATATCCACTTTGTTAAACGAAATTTCAAACCAATCCTCACCAAGGAGGCTGAAAAGGTCATTTCGAGCTATTATCAATTACAAAGAAGATTTGCGACGCAAAATGCAGGTTTTAGTGAGACAACAATCTTTTTTCTGATTCCTAAACACTTTCAATTTGGTTGCTGAAGTCGTGCCTTGTACTGCAGCAAGGACAACTGTGCGTATGCTGGAAAGTTTGATACGACTAGCTCAAGGTACATTTTCTTCCATTTTTAGCATCCATCCAGGATTGACTTCCTGCTTTCACTCCCCGAATGATTATATGACTTGCTGACGCAGCACATGCAAGATTAATGTTCAGAAATGAGGTCACAAGATTAGATGCCATCACTGCCATTTTATGCATCGAATCATCAATGACTGCGTCAGCAATTGTGGACAGCGTTGGGAATGCCCTGCACTCAAATTTCACTGACAACCCTGACCAAGAATGTATCCTTGCCACAATTTTGCATGTACAAACACATATGTCAACACACATGCATTTGAAAAAGAGAAGGCATGTACACATACATTACATGTATATATGAGAAATTATGTAATGGATTGAGAGTGATCAATAATTATATTCATAATGTTAATGTATTTACCTGGCTAAGTATTCCATATATATATCATCTTGTTTTCCCTGAAAATGTGACTACTTGACTATGTGTTTCGTAGATATTAAACAGGAAAAGCTGATCCTTGGAATGCTGAGCCCTATCGATGAATTCTCCAACATAAACAATGTAGCAGGATCAACCAGTGAATGATATTAAACAGAAAGCAAAGGTGTGATGTCTGAAAGTTGATTGCTTGAAGAGGTAATATGTTAGTAGCTTGAGATCTTTTGTGATTGTTAATGTTAATTGGATGGATGGTTATAGGCAATGTATGAAGAAGTTTATGACAAACTCACATGTGGTTGATCCATGTTACATCTAGTGATTTTTTAAGGATGTATGGCCTGCAGCCCATGGCCCATGGCCCTGGCCCAGGTCCAGTCTCGACCTCATATCCCGGGTAAGGCTAGATATATGGGTTTTCAATTAGAAAAAGACCCAACCCGACACACCCAGGCATTAAGTTGATCTGGCCCCTAGGGTTGGGCTGGGTCTGGGTACTTAGAAAATGGGCTGGCCCTGCCTGATAGAAATACTGTTTACAGTAGAGAAATCAAATCCATAGCTTTCACAATGTGGAGCTTTGTGAAAGGATCAAACAATTGCGATATATGAATGCATTGAATGTAATTTCTTGAAAATGTTTTGGATTTTCAAAATGATATTTGAAGGATTATTTCATCACTGATACAGTTTTAAATGCTCTGATTGTTAGTTAAACAAAGAATCGTCTTTCAAATAGATTAGGATGAAATTAATGCTTTTATCTTTATTTATTTATTGTAGTTTTCCTAAAATGCCCATAGATTGTAAATTAGAAGCTCAAAATGTTCTATAACCAACGCTAATTTTCTCATAAAAGTGAACCAAAATAAAATTCTAATAAAAGTTGGATAATAAAAAAATAGGGCAAAATGTACTTATCCTTTGTGATTACCAATGAAAAGTGATCAACGCACTTTCAATAAGGAGTAAAAAGTCAAATTTTAAAGCGAAAGACTAAAATATCATTTTTTCCCCATCTTTTTCCATTCAAAACTTTAATTAAAGCTAATTATAAACATTATTATAAATATAATTACACTTATAATTAAAAATCAAGTTAATCATACACATAATTATATATAAATTAAGGGCAAATTACATATACACCCCTCGAGGTTTGGCTAAATTACAAATACCCTCCTGAGGTTTGAGAAATTACAAATTCCCCCCTGAATGCTATATTTGCATAAGAAATTAGGGGGTAATTTGTTATGAAATATAAACCTCAGGGGGTAAATTGTTATGAAAATACAAACCTCAGGGGGCGGGATGTAATTTCCGAAACCTCAGGGGGGTATCTGTAATTTAACCAAACCTCGAGGGGTGTATATGTAATTTGCCCTATAATTAATATTTTTCGTTAATTATACACATTATAAAATTAAATTACAAATTAGTTTAGTGTTTGACTTAAATTTAAGTATGATTGAAGTAATGTGATTAAGTTTGAAATTATTTGAAAAATTAGTAAAAGAAGAAAGTTTGAAAAATTATGTTTGTCATTAACAGTATTAATATTGGATTTTAGCTAAAATTACAAAAGAGTTCTTTATCTATAATTAAAGTACAGTAGGCAAAGTGTAAAAAGCACAAACCAATGGCTCGTTTGGTTTAGTTTTTAAAATGAATTTTAAGTTTTGGGTTATTTTAAAATGAGTCGTTAAAAAAAAGTAAAAGTTAAAGATTTGTTTGATTATGAGTTTTGAAAATATTTTTTAAATGATTTATATTTTTAAATTTTTTTTTTTAGTTGAATAAATAGGTGTAGGAGAAAATTGGATTGATTGATGTATTGAATGTGAGAGAATGAGAAAAGAGAGAGGAGTGAGAAAAAGTAATTGATTGATTTATTAATAATAATAATAATAATAAAGAATGTTAGAGGAAATTGAGTTTTGAATTGTATTCTAAAAATTAACTAACCTAACAAATTTTTCAATTTTTTTCATCCAAATCATGTTTTAAAAATTGAACCAAACACTGCCTAAGATTTTGTTTATTTAGAAAGAAACGCGCGATAGAAAGTGAAATGATAGAAAGGAAAAAGAAATAAAAATTAATTTTGTTACATGCATTTAAATAGATGAAAAATTTTGCAAAAAAATAATAGGAAAACATGTAATCACTATATAACTGGAGTTGTGGAGAGAAGCATATAGGTAAAGCATGAAACAAAACAAGCATTGTCATGTTTTATGCAAAAAAATAAATTTTCTTGTATATTTTGTAAGAAATCATAAGCCTAATTAACAAATTAATTTGAGTTGTACTAAAATTTTTTCATTACTTTATAGGACTCTTGTTACCCAAAAGTTTTTCAAAAAATAAACAAAAAATAAACAAAAACTAGTTTATAAAATTTTTGTAAATATAAACTGAAAACGTAAACGTTACCAAACACAAGTGTTTGACTTAATTTTAAGTATGATTGAAGTAATGTGATTAAGTTTGAAATTATTTGAAAAATTAGTAAAAGAAGAGAGTTTGAAAAATTATGTTTGCCATTAACAGTATTAATATTGGATTTTAGCTAAAATTACAAAAGAGTTCTTTATCTATAATTAAAGTACAGTAGGCAAAGTGTAAAAAGCACAAACCAATGGCTCGTTTGGTTTAGTTTTTTAAATGAATTTTAAGTTTTGGGTTATTTTAAAATGAGTCGTTAAAAAAAGTAAAAGTTAAAGATTTGTTTGATTATGAGTTTTGAAAATATTTTTTAAATGATTTATATTTTTAAATTTTTTTTTTAGTTGAATAAATAGGTGTAGGAGAAAATTGGATTGATTGATGTATTGAATGTGAGAGAATGAGAAAAGAGAGAGGAGTGAGAAAAAGTAATTGATTGATTTATTAATAATAATAATAATAATAAAAATAAAGAATGTTAGAGGAAATTGAGTTTTGAATTGTATTCTAAAAATTAACTAACCCAACAAATTTTTCAATTTTTTTCATCCAAATCATGTTTTAAAAATTGAACCAAACACCTAAGATTTTGTTTATTTAGAAAGAAACGCGCGATAGAAAGTGAAATGATAGAAAGGAAAAAGAAATAAAAATTAATTTTGTTGCATGCATTTAAATAGATGAAAAATTTTGCAAAAAAATAATAGGAAAACATGTAATCACTATATAACTGGAGTTGTGGAGAGAAGCATAGGTAAAGCATGAAACAAAACAAGCATTGTCATGTTTTATGCAAAAAAATAAATTTTCTTGTATATTTTGTAAGAAATCATAAGCCTAATTAACAAATTAATTTGAGTTGTACTAAAATTTTTTCATTACTTTATAGGACTCTTGTTACCCAAAAGCAACCTAAGAGGGGGGTGAATTAGGTTTTTATAAATTAAAATTAATAATATCCCAATAAAATTAGCTACTAGTACAACAAATTATTAACAAGGACAATGATAAACTTAGCAATAAATGATCAAACAAAATAACAATGAAGTATAACTAACATACATGGTAAATCAAATGATTAGCACGTGAATATTAGATAGATATAGCAGTAGTAGGAAAGTAAAGAGATTAGAGAAGATGAGACAAACAGATTTATAGTGGTTCGACTTCAACTAAGCTTACATCCACTCCTCAAGTTTCACTTGAGATTTTCCACTATCTTCTAGCTTCACAGGGGTGCTAGCAACCTCTTTACAAATGGAGCAATCCTCCACGGATTTTGCACAGACTTCATAAGCCCAAACCTTTGCAAATCTTAAGTGATTCACAATCACTATCAAGATTTCAAGAACACAGTGTTTGCAACACTTTTACAAGATGAAATGGTATTTTAGCTTTCAAAGAAAGCTTACAATAAATATCTCTCAAAGATAGATATATAAAATGAAGCTTTGATTTTTCTGTAAATCTCATACAGAAAAGATGGACTTAAAGTTATAAGGCTCAGCGTATAATTTCTGAGAGAGAATGTAAACAAAAATTGAAGAACACTCCTCAAAATTTTTTCAGAGAATAAATGTGAGTAATGATAGATTAAAGAATATTTTTTGGTTTTTTGTTCTTGTTTACATTAGAGGCTTTAGTATATATAATCAAAATTATAGCTGTTTATAGTCGTTATATTCATTTGAATTTATAGCCGTTGTAGTCATTTGAATTTATAGTCGTTGTACTTCCATCATTACCAATTTGAATATTTTCCACTCCATCATTATAAATTTGAATATCTTCCACTTGAACGTTTTGAACCTTTTGGCCTTTTGAACTTTTATAGCCGTTTATAGCCGTTGTACTTCCATCATTACAAATTTGAATATCTTCCACTTGAACCTTTTGAATCTTTTGGCCTGCTGCTGTGCTAGGCTGTTTGAACCTTTGTTTTGGGCTGTTTGAACTCCTAATTTAATCAAATATTAAATACATTCTAGCAACATTTAGGATATATGTTTAGGTGAGAAATAATGGGACAAAATAAATTTTGATTCTATTTTTCTCTTTCAAATAAATCATCAAAATAAATTTTGATTAAAATATAATTAAATAAATCATAAAAATAAATAAGTCTAACAATATAATTAAATAAATCATCAAAATAAATAAGTTTACACAATACAGCTTTTTTGATGATGGCACACAATGATGTTTTGATTTGATTTGAAAGTAAGAAAAGTTCTCCCTCAAGTCATGCTCCCTAAATTCATTTCTAAATAATTAGATTAGCACATGTGTAATAAATAAGTTTTAATTAGAGACATGATATGAGACTAAGATAACATCATATTAGTTTGAAAATAATACCATAATACATAACATCATATAATTTCTCCCCCTGTGACATTATCAAAAATAAATCATGGGTCAGAATTTAGAGGAGGAGGAGGAAAATGATAAGGATAAATGATATCAAAAAAATAGATAATCAAAACATATATATACATATATGCATACACATACAACTCTCCCGCGTCTCTCTCTTTTTTCGCAAAGCGCAGTTGCTACGCGGTCTGGCTTTTGCGTCATTGGCCGACAAAAGCAGCTCTCTTTGATTGCCGCTCGTCTCGGCTATCTCTCCCTCATTGTCTTCTTCTCTTTTGCCTTCTTCTTAATCACACACTCTTCTATTTTCTTCTTCACCATTCTCTTCTATCTCTTCTTCACCACTCTCTTCTGTTTCTTCTTCCTCATTGAGAGACAAAGAAACTGAACGGAGGAGGCCAAACCTCAGTCTATTCGCTTCTATTTCTCTGCAACTCATTTCTTTGACACCTCTCACCTTTAATCCATGGCTTCTTCATCCTATCCCCTCACTCTGTTTCTGGACCTAAACGATCCCATAAGCTCTGCTGGACCGAGCGCCCCTACTCCTTCTCTTCTTGTCATTCCTCTGTCTAACCTTTCTATGGCGTCGATTGAGCAAATCACGGCAGCTCAATCAGACATTGAAGCCAATCATTTCATACTGACGTCCTGTATGGAGACGGTGACTACAGTCACAAAATTGGCTCACTGATTGCAGAACAGGACGAATGAGCTCCATCAGGTCCACGCCCAACTCTTTCTGCTTTAGCGCATGTACAAGGATGCGCGAGCAGAAATAAACGCACTGAAGGCCGAAAATAAAGAGTTTAAATGGAAGACCACCTCCATG